AATTTCATTCTTGCCATTATTACTATTTTACACTATTGCGTTTTGTTTGTTTCATTCTCATGAAAAAAATTATTTTTTTTATATAATAATCCGTGAAATATTTTTCCCGCTGTGTTTTAGGTTAGTTTCGTTTTACCTCTGGTATCATTTTTTCAAGAAATAAATGTGGCAAACCCCTTGCCCGTGTTTATCCTTCATATATCCCTCCTTTTTTGTTGTTTTCGTGTTGTAAAGGATTTCCTCCTTTATTTTTTTTATTTTTCCGTGACGATCTATATTTTACCATCTTTACTTCTGTTGTATCACTTATATCTCTTCGTCGCGTTTTTTTATATTCTTATTAGCCAAGCTAGCCAAGGTAAGGAAACAAGATGTCCTCGTGATCTCTTTTTTCATAAAATTCTATCGATATTTTAACCACATTTTATTTATATTCTAGCTATATTCTGGCTATATTCTAGCTATATTCCAGCTATACTCTATCTCTATATTCTGCCTATATTCTAGCTATATTTGGTGAATTTAATAATGGGTAAGAAGTCAGATAATTCTCTAATTTTCATGATTATTATCTTCAATCCTCCATTTAACCATTTAACATAATTATTTACCAGAACCTAAACCACGGCTAATTGCTCCAACTCCAAATCAAGTGAGCTCATCATCCACAACTTCAATCGATCCATCTCGGTTTAATCGAACTTATTTTTTTCCTCCGTTACAATCACGAGACACTGCTCAACCAATCATTAATAATTGGATGATGCCAATCTTCTCTTTACATGCCCCAACTCCTCAACATCTTCATCCTTCTGCTTCATTAAATAATCCAAATCATATGTATATGGTACCAATTTCTAATAATAATAATCATGTAACTTTTTCTTCTTCCTCTTCCTCTTCTTCTCCCTCTCATTTTTCTGATGCCATCACTCCTCGTATTTCCCCTTATCCTGGAAATTCCCCTAACCCCTCTTCTAATCTTAATTCTCCTCCGTCATCATCTTCCGTCTCGCGTAATAGACATAAATGTGATTGGCCCGGTTGTACTTGGAGTTTTAAACGTTTAGAACATTTAAAACGTCATATGATTACTCATACTGGTGAACGTAAATATACCTGTCATTATCCTGGTTGTGGTAAAAAATTTGGCAGATCTGATAATTTTGCCGCTCATTATAAAACTCATACTAAATCTAATCAGAGGAGGTCAAGAAAATCTACTAAGATTTTGAATAATCCTGCTGATATTTCTGCTTTGGATATTACCCTTCCTCAAGATAATTCTACTTTAACTAATGGTATTTCGGGAATTATGACTATACAATTACCCCCTCCTCCCCCTCCTCCTACTGTACCTTCATCTTCCTTAACTCAAGATCAGATCGATGCTTTTCATTATTATTGTGATACTACTTCTGCTTCAAACTCAAATTCTAAAATTTTTATGTAATGATAAACAGTCTTGTTTACCTAGCGAATATATAAACGTAGAAAAAAAATTTTTTTTTTGATATTATGTATACACGATTAAAAAAATAAATCCATAGATGTGAACAAAACTTTATTTGACTTATACAATGCACAAATTAAAAAAGTTATAATTACTTTATTCTTTATAAGATACCAAACTCTTTTAATATATTGTGAGTTATCTATGAATATATCTTTATAGTAAAAGTTTTTTTTTACCTTAAACAACTCAAGATATAACCAGATATAATAAAAATTTTGTTTTAAAGTATATAAAACAACAGATTACAAAAAATACTATGCTTTATAATAGATATATATAAGTATTTTAGTTTATTCACAAAACCAATGTTTCTTTTTTTATATTTATTTGAATTTGTTATAAATGCAATGTTACTACTACACAATATTCATTATTTCATTTCAATTTTTGATGGTAAGCATAACAATCACTAATTGATGTATTTAATATAAACGATTCAGGTTTGTTTCCGATTCTGTTCATCTACATAAATTCGGTCAGTATGAGTCAAACAAGCCAGATTGAAATTTTCAATAAAAATCCTATTTAGAAAATATGTATAATATAATTATAGTTTTATATTATGAGTCGTTTTTTATTGTCTTCTCATTTAGTTTATAATCGGGAATTATAATGCTGAATGAAAAACTGGTTTTTTTAATCAGCGATAATTTTGGTACAAGTCACTCTCGTTATAGTGAAGTTCTTGGGCTGTGAAAATTTCTTCACTATATCGAGAGATTAACTATATTGAGAGTCTTTCGATATAGTGAAGTCGATAATAAATTGTATAAATCTTCACTATATCGAGAGAAATAATAAATTTATGCTCCAAAAAATTTATTAACAAGTGTTACACGAAGTAATATAGTTGCGTATGACATCACACGATCAAAGCTCCGTTTTAGAAAAAATCTTCGTATATCTTAGAGTTTACTAATTAACTTCATTATATCGAACGAAAGTTTAATAATAATGATTTTGTTCTAAACAAATTCTTCACTATAAACCAATCTTCACTATAACGAGAGTTCACTATAACGGGAATGATTTGTAGTTATGCGTGGATTGTGGTCTGGAACTTTTCTGCAGGATTTGAAGGTTTGACTTTAAGAGTTTTAATTCATGACAGGTTTTCGACAGGAATTTCGCTTTGACAAAATGTTTTGACTTTCGACAGTTTATTTTCAACTTTCGACGGGTTATTTTCAACTTTCGACGGTTTATTTTCAACTTTCGACGGGTTATTTTCAACTTTCGACGGTTTAGTTTCAACTTCCGACAGTTTGGTTTCAACTTCTGACAGTTTGGTTTCAACTTCCGACAGTTTGGTTTCAACTTTTGACGGTTTAGTTTCGACTTTCGATGGTTTAGATATTAGGAAAAATAATATGTTTGACATCACTAGTTTAAATACAATTTCAACATACAATTTGGAAAACATAGTTGGTTTATGTTTTCGATCGATCAAGGTGTCGAGAATCTCAAAAAAATATTCGCATCAATATATCGATGCGCATAACTTAACGATACGTTAAAAGAATTACATATGCGTTGAAAATGCACCTTTATAAAATTTTTATTTGAATCATCACTAATTCCATAAATTTATGGGGGAAAAAAAATACCAACTACATTATTGGTAAAGAATCGTATCTAACAAAAAAAAAATTTTATTTTGATAAAGCCCCCTCATAATTAAAACTCTATGAAACTGAAAAAAGTCTAAATGAATTTTTTTAAAAAAAAAAGAAAAGAAAGGATAGAAGAGACAAACAGATATCGTAATACCGTATATACGTTAGATACGTTAGATACAGTATGGATAATATAGGATGAATACAGTGTGAAACAGTGTGAAAACAGTATGGTATGATACCAAAGAATATGTAACATTCTAAAGAATATAGCTAGTAAAATTCTCTGTATCGCAAAGTACGATCGGAAGAAGTAGTGGAATTTTCAGAGATCAAAGGACAAGAATCAAATCAATCAATCTGTCGATAAATCAGTACATAGAGCATGTAAGTAGATTCTTATTCGTATACGTATCAACTTCAAAGTTTCTTGTTTTCTTTTACTGCTAAGATATTCTTTAAGTTCAGTTTTCATATTTCGTAGATATTCTTTATGTTCAGTTGTTTTATTTCGTAAGGTTAATCTTTATCTCGTTTTTTCTATCTCGTAGAATATTATTGTTGTCTTAGGTTTAGATAAGTTGACAATTTTACATGTAATTTAAATTGTTAGAAAACGGTTAGAAAATATTTAGAAAAGTTGTATAATGCACCAAAGATTTTTGAAAGAATACTTACTAACTTGTCGTTATATATATGATCGTGATATTAATTTTCTTCGTTAATCTAGCTTAGATTTAAGTCGTGTTTTTATTGGAACATAGAATGATTTTTGAATCTAATGCTTCGCTTATTGTGTCTTTTTGTATACCTGGCAAATTGTGTTATTGTGTTATCATCGTGCCCTCCTAGGCCTTAGTGCAGCCTTCGATCGTAGTTACATAATCATAATTTCAGAACGTGCGTATCTACACGGGAGATTTTCTCTGGTATGTGAAGTCCGAGACTTGCACCGTAAATTACATATACATCTCTTCAGCATTTAAGTTCTCTGGGCTGTTCTGTTTTGAGATCTAATAAAAATAAATAAATAAATAGATAAAGAAAAAATAAAAAAATAAAGATGGAAAATAGATTAGATAAAATCTTTAGAATATATATATATATATATAGAACACTTGCGGAGACGATACGGCGTAATGAAAGGACACAGGCTGATGATTAACATAAAACTTTGTAAACTATGGACTAATGTGAAAATATTTCTAGATGAAGTTCTTTAAAAGATGGATATATATATATATAACAGAATCTAGAATCAAGCAGTTCGCACGGGTGATAATGATTTCTCGTGTCATCAACGCCTATTTGTGCAATTAGTAAAATTATATTATATAAAAAATAGTTTTTTTTTAAACTAGCCAATCAAATTGCATGATCAATTTAGCCAATCAAATTTCAAATTAGGTGTAACATAAAAGAAGCGCGAACTACGTAATAAAAAAGTTTTTCTAGTAAATTTTTGTATAGGCAATACTCACAAACCCTAACTGTGAAAATACACTGTTCCTGACAGGGTAGGAAAAAAATCGATTTACATACCGTTCCTTTCCAAAAAAGAGTCTCTAAAATACTATACTACTATAGCGAAATATATGAAAAAAAATTAACAGTACTCAAATAAATTTTTTTCTAACTCCTTCAGGATCGGTACTGCCGATCCATTAGGAAGAATAATTGTCGGGGATGATGCTGAAATCTTGACTTACTTTATTATGAAAATTTAAAATTTTTTGGGGTGTTTCGTTCAGCTTTTTTTGTTTATAGTTAGATTAGAATTTAGGGTTAGTGTTTATAATAAAAGAGTATAGGTTGATTTTAATAGGGTTTATATTTTCAAATTAAGCCCCTAAATTTCAGCATCATCCCCGACAATAATTTTGCACCCTAACATAATGAAATTTTTTCTTTGAAAAATTTTTGTGTAGCGATTTGTTCGTAATCAAAAAAGCCAAGTCACATAACCGGTTTGTCGCAGCTCAAATGAAGATTTTTTTTGTTCTGTTGGGGACGATGACGATGACCGGGTTCCTACACAGTCCTTTCTTTTTTAAATGACCTTTTCGTTATCTTTATGTAGAGATCATTACGATTATTTGCATATTTGCATAAATCATCATCGAGATAAGGTCACTTAAAAATAGGGACCTATGTAGGAATTTTTGAAACACCCGGTATATTGTGTATTTGACTAAATAAAAACTTAATGACATTGCAATATATTTAGGCTGAATAAAAATTTAATTATATTGCAATATATTTGACTAAATAAAGATTTAATTATATTGCAATACCAAAAATTCGGATCGCAGGTTAGTGGAGATAACAGTAAAAACTTTTATCTAAGTTATTCCCATCAAACTGAGATTGAAAAAGTAAGAGTTTTACGAGTATAACGCCATTATAAGCGGGACCAAGCTATATCGTGCACTTTAAGAGATTTTACTTAGGGAGGTCTCTCTGCAATTACACATTTATACAATGCTCACATGTGTTTAGTGCAAAAGCAGCAATTCGCACTAGTACAAACAATACTGCTAGTCATTTTGCTAAACAATAGTACCATTTTAGATATTACTAAATTCCATTGGCTCTATTGCAAGGGCTAGTTTTAATATATATTTCTTATATAATTAGAGTATCAGCTTATAATTAAGCTTATCCGGGTTAAAATAGGATTGTGTCTTAAAGATATTTTTATTTGATCAAATATTATTATAAAAAAAGTTTGAGTTTTTATAATATTATGGTGATGCAAAGTGAAAAATCAACTTTGCATTGCCTAATAGCATAGTTCAGAAATTATGATAATATTTATTGGAAAATTCTATTTTCACCCGGGTTAAAGTCACCCGATATATAATTTTTATTATGCTTTATAATATAAATTCATATAATATCATAAAATTCATCTACCCTAACCTCTAACTAACTAACCTATAGAATTTTTAGTTGGTTATAGTAGTTTGTATTTATATAATA